TAAACGACTTATAGACAGCCCATTGTCCGCGACAGAATTTCCTGGAAAGTGCATGCCACAACTCTTTTGAAAGAGTCAGCGCTCACGAAGTATTACCGGATGGATATTTCGACATTTCAAGAACTTTTGTGTATTTTGGGACCATATCTAGTGGTCGACTATTACCAATATCTTCGCCGTTCTCGAGGTATTCCCCCGCTTACACCAGCTGCAATGCTGCAGTGTGCACTATCGTGGCTAGCGGGTGGTAGCTATCATCATGTTCGTGTGATTACTGGAATTAGTAAGTCTACGTTTTATCGTGTCGTTTATCGTGTGATGTGCGCAATTAATGACGCTGAGAAGCTCGCACCTCGTTTTCCGAGAGCACCAGATGAATTGGAAGAAGCCGCAGCTGCATTTCGGTCTTGCAGTAACTACGGAGTGATTGAGCATTGCATTGGTGTTATCGACGGATGGCTATGTCCAATCCGTGTGCCTCGCTACGATGAATGTGGACGTGTTCTGTCCTTTTTTTCGGGTCATTATCAGAAGTATGAATTAAACGTTCAAGCATGTGCTGATTCGCTATGTCGTTTTACCGCATTTTCAGTTAATTCACCTGGTGGTATGAACGATTCATATGCATTTCAAAAGTGGAAACTAAGCCAAGTGCTTCAAGAAATTTCTGGGCCGTACTTTGTTATCGGAGATAATGCCTATGTCCAAAGCAGACGCCTGATGACCCCATTTAACAAGGCGCATCTTGACGATCGGCCTGAACGTGATAGCTACAATTTTCATGTTAGCCAGCTTCGAATTCAAGTGGAGATGGCGTTTGGTCTACTAGTGAATACCTGGAGAATTTTAAAGCAGCCACTGCTGGTTAGTCTTCGACATTGTCGTATTCTAATTTCGGCATGTTTTTGTTTGTATCATTTTTGTATAACGCAACGTTGTCAGTCCACCAAGTCATCTCCAGATCAACTTGTATAGTCTTTTTTCCGAGAGGCTCGTTCATGGACTGGTGAAAGATCTCTTGAGTATAAACGGTCTGATATGGAGCTCGAAAATGGCAGTCACGTAGACCTAATGGATGAAAAGGTTCGCTCAGACCTCGTTCGGTACTTGGCAAGCAAAAATTTGCTCCGCCCCGAGAGAAATAGGACGAGAAACCAACCAGAGGCGAACTTTCAAAAGGAGACTGATGCCGTTGAACAAGGATCTGACGTTCATGAGGCGTCTACCGTTGAACAAGGATCTGACGTTCATGAGGCGTCTACGGTAGCCCCAGCTCTCGGAAGCTCAGTTACATGTGACATTGCTCAGTGGCAGGTGGTGTAGTCCAATGTTTCGATGATGTGATGGATGTTGCAGGTGTCCGTATTGATACGGCCGTCGAGGCGGCGGAGGCCCAAGCAGCAGTACACGACTTTATCAAGGCTGAATTTCAATTAGAGAATCAAGATATGCTAGGTCACCATCAAAATTACTGAGTGAAGAGCATTTTTTAAATTTGCATTAGTATAACTACGAAAAAATGTATTTTTCTCTTGGGTGGAGAGGGAAATATCGCCATGCATGCACGATGCACGTACGTCCATCTTGAATTGTATTATCGGATTCATAATTTGATTACGGACGTTGAAGTGCAATTCAGGGCGATTACAGATTTTGAGTGCGTACTGCATCCATGATCCTCTGACGTTCTTCGAGGAAAAAGTCTAAACCAACTTAAAGACGGTGCTTTTTTGGACTTGCCGCTGAGCTCATTTCGCACTCGATTTTATCGATGCGCTTGCGGATATCATCGAGCATCTTGTAGCGCTCAGAACGCACTCGGACAGCAGCCTCTTGATCCTGTTCTCTTGCAAGTGTGATTTCAGCCTCCCTCGCGGCTGCAATTCTATCAGCGAGCGTTACCAGCACCTCCATTGAGTCGGAATCAGCTTTGGTCTTCTCGTTGGGAGTTCGTCTGCTTGAAAGGCTCTCGCGCGGGCTCTTTTTCGTTGAACTGGGTTTGTTTGGGTTGCATTTCGACGCTCACGTGTCGGAGTTGACGATGAAAGTGAATCGAATTCGTCCTCCTCCCTCTGCCACGGGCACTGTTAAGAGCCTCTGGTCGCTTCTGTTAATTGAATAACAACTTTATTAGAGTGCATGCATGCCACTCTCATTCTATAAACTTACTTCCAACCAGTACCATAAATACAGTACGTCCATTTTGCCATGCACAAACTGCTTGAACTCATGATCGTGAGTTCCCAATAAACGGAAATTTGCCGCGCAAACGCTAAAAAACGAAGTCAGTTCTTTCCAAAGCTCCTCCAGCTTAGCTTGGTTGTGGGGAACAATGACGCCAGGATCAATATCTTCAAAGGCAGGATCATCTTCGATAAGCCCTCGAAAGACCTCGTCATTTGAGTGATACGCGGCAGCCACGTCGCGCCCAAACTGAGATTTCGCTGAAGACTGAGCGTCATCCAAGTCAGTACGATCAAAGCTTCTTCCTGCGTATTTTTAATAATGATTTTGTTAGTCGCTGCATTAGTTACAATATGGCTTACGTCACCTGTAGCTTCAATAAGCCTCATGAACAAGTTATCGGATAGCACAACATTAGCTAAACGAAACGTGCAGTGCTTCGTTCGCCGTGTTCCCCCCGCAGCCATTGTTGAAGCTGCCGAAGCACTTTGTCCGCTGTTCATTAGCTCGTCGTAGCGTCGATAACACCTGATCCTATCCGCCTTGTTTGTTCTAGTGTTGAGTTTGATTTCACGTAAACTACACTCTTTTCGTATGAGATCCTGCGCCTTCTTTTCGTACGGCTCCCAGGCGAAATGCCCCTCCATTATACCACCGCTGCAACTAGGGAAGACTGTCTCCGGAACACGTGCAGCAGGTAGAGCATCTTCTTGCACATCAATATCACATTGTCTATGGGGAGAAGCAGTAGCACCTTGGCGGTCAACGTTTGGTGATGAGGTTGCAGCGTTAACTAGCTCAGGGTCTAGATGTCAAGCAATAGGGACGTCTGGCTCCATAGTTCGGTGGGTTTCTCCTTCTTTGCTGTGATTCGCAGTGTCGTCCACTTGGATTGGTTATTATCACGTAAAATCTATCCAATCAGAATGTTTTATGATTTTTGAATTCCATTCCCAACCAAAGTGTAGGGTTAGGGAACGCATGGAGCGCATGCGTCAGAGAGATACTTCGGTTGGGAACGGGCCTAAACTAGTAGACTTCGGGAACCGATATTTTATTCCTGTCGGAGGGTATTCCATGAGTAGGGATTACTACCGAAGGGTATATCTGTATTCGTTTCGTACTCTACACTACCGTTGAAGATGCTTGTATACAGTACCGTAGGCGTATTTCATGTACACCCTTCACTCTAATCAGTCGTGCTTCAAAAATAGTCATGCATTCGCGCTTTAGTGACGTCACAATTATGGGAAGTTCTTACAAACCTCACCAATGCCAAATGGTCGGTTTTCGATAGATCTCGCGGGGGTTGTCATTCTACTATGCTCGATTCTAAATTGGATTGGTAGTTTTCACGAAACGGACAATTTAAATCCCGAGAAGTTATGCTCTGGGGTCATAATAGTCAGGGTCGGACTAATTAGAGTGAAGAGTGTATTTGTATTTTGCAATGTTTTTTTGCTTTTGGTGGGTACAAAGCCAGGCCCGCGAACTTAGCAGCTTTTTAAAGCTGGTCTCCCTTTGTAGGTCGTAGTGATTGAGATGCAACGGCCTTCGGAAGCGGACCTGCGCTGGCAGTGTAGCTACAGAGCTCTATTTGAGCGAGTGGCGAATTCTCAGACGACGAAAAAGACTCGAATCGTGATGGGATTGACGTAGTCACCATCATACAGTCTAGTAATAGTGGACAAATGTTACGAAATCAAGTTGCCTCGCGGGAAACGAGTGCGACAAGAGCGGAAAATGCTGCCAGCCCTCGCCGTTTAGACCCAACGGAGAATGGTCAAGTCAACGCTGATTGCTCAGCGACGCGTGAACCAACATCGACCCATCAAGCGCATCAAGAGCTGGAACAGCGACTACGAGGCCCAACAAGCTGTATTAGAGTGCTATAACTTATTCGGTGCTCATGTCGCTCACCAAGGGGAAGGAAGCAACCGTGTCGAGCAAGCTGTCAATCCACTGGCCTCGCTATGGACTTTTTGCTTTAAAACAGATAACGATGGCGCGGTACACTACGGAGCTGATGGACTACCACGAACAAGAAGAACATCAGCATGACGGCGAAACCAAACAAGAGCACGGCCGGCCGCCGACGCAGGTAATGTGTTATTTATGATTGAGCTGTCAATTGGGTACACATGAGTTATTGATGCCAGAAACGCGTCCATTGCATGCGTGAAAGAATGGTCCAGGATCGGCGAGATTTCTAGGTGGAAAAAGATGGAGACTCTAGTAAACGACGCCATGAAGAGCAGCTCCAACAACAAGACTTCAGCTCCGCAAGGACCTTGCCCGATCAATGCTCGGTGACATCTTGACTGAAATGGGGGACCCACTCTTAAACTCGGCTCTAACGGCCAAGTAGATGAACGCAAGCCACCCGAACATGCCGATGACTGTCTTGAAACACATGCACGTCGGCGCCGCCATCGTAACCCGAAACAAAAAAACAGTCGATTACGGACCTGGCAGAGAAAAAATCGCAGGAAAGAAAAGACCGGGGAAAAGCGATGCTGGACTTCAAGCGCCAAAAGCTTGAAGAAATCTCAAAGCTCAGAAGAGAGGAGGTGGAGCTGAAGAAGCTAGAACTTGTCGAGAAGGCGCAACAAACAGATCGAGCACACGAGATCAGGATGCGTGAAATATAAATGAAGCAGAACGCGTACAAGACACAGATAAAGCTCTAGCTCCGCGAGCTCGACATCAAATTAAGAGGAGGAGCTAGGTGACAGCGTATTTGTGTTTTTTTCTTTCCGTGCGTTTGGCAAACTAGTGACGTGAGCTAAACGTGAAAAAATGAATTTAAAAAAACAAGAACGAGACGAGCTAGCTTAATCCTAAACGAGGACGTATTCAGGTAAACCTCCAAAGTGGGAGGTGCAGAGCTGAAAAACAAAGTAATCGGGCTACCGAGCCAGTAGCACGGCAAGCAGCTGGTTAGACATACACCAACATGCCAGATCGCCTCCACGGGCATGAGTTCTATCTTGTGCTGCTTGTACCAGTCAACATACGCATAGTTCTGACAAACTTGCGAGTAGCCCCACTCCACCGATGTGCGGACAGCAGCCATTGTTCTGTTGAAAACTTGTGCCCACTGGGGTAGATTTCGGCCTTTAAACACGTCACCATCACGTTTGTGTTGGAATTTGCAGGGTCTCCAAACACAACATACTGGTTCTCGATGATGAGTGGATGAGCTCGTAGGAACTGGAGCAAGTTTGACTCCCGCAGAATGAGGAAATCTCCTCTGCGGCCATCTTGGCTGCGATTGCAGTGTGCAATTAAATCTAGCGTAAAAACGCAAAACGATTAGCTGTATCTCTTTTCTAGACACATTGCTTACGATTGGGGGTCTCCAGCGTCTGGTACGTTAAGCAGTGGAATTGCTTGTGACCGCTGTACTGTGTGCGTTGGAAATCGGTTGGCCGACTGTTTTGAGCCCTTTTCACATGTATTACGCTCCAAACACGTAGCCGATGAGGCACCGATTGTCTCCAGAAGGCTTGTGCATACGTTTTCAGCCGCTCTGGTGTCAACATTTGTGACAGCGTTACTCGAATTTTGTCAGAAGTCAATATCTTGTGAAAAATGTAGTTAAGGATCCTGCTCAGAGCATGAGAAAGTCTGTCGTAGCATTCCTGGAGATTGTCGAGCTTTCTTGAATATGTCATTCGATCGAGAATCAGGCAGATTTTTTTCTACCGCCGTAAATCGGTCGCCGTGAAGAGGTGTCATGAAAAAAAGTGGTCCATTAATAATTACGAGTCGTTTGATGCCATTTTGATAGAAGTGAAAACGAGTGCGGCAATCTCAAGCCGTCATCTCGTTTAGATTAAACGACACACCAGGAAGCATAGGGACATCCATGTGACAAAATAGACCAGCTTCCAAAGCTATACTCCGTGCGACTCCGTCTTGTTCTTCAGACGTAGTCATAGGAATTAGACCACGTCTTCCTTTCTGATGATTCTCTCCGATCCGTGAGCTTGGCGAGCTATAGATATTGCAATGGGCGGTGTAAACATGGCTGTCAAGCGCCTCATGCAGGAAGCAGCTTGCTTTTCGCGTTGAATGCGAATCTCATCAACCGCACTCTCCACTTCAGCAGCGTTTTGCAGCATGATGTCAACTGCAATTACTCCCAGTGTTGAAGCGAACTTAAGCGATGTTTGAAGCCCCTTTAAACACTTAAATACCCTCCTAGAAATGATTGATAAGTTTGGTCTACAAAACACAAAATACACTGATGCAAGTCGTCTTTTCTTAACTCCCTATTAGGGATTGCAAAAAACGTGTTTAAAATTCCCTTCGGATTACGCCCATATTTTTGACAACGACCTGCTCACTTTCAACGTAAGCCACCTCCGGAGGTGGCTTACATTTAAAATGAGCGAGCCCCTTTATTTCCTAAATAATCTCCCCTTCCAAAAACCAGACCGGCATGGAAATATAGGAAGGCGCGTGTATGGCTGCGTCGCTCTGCACCCGTCTCCGGCCAGAAGTCGGGTGCCCCAAGGCGCGACGTGCAGCACACATGTTGGAGATAGATGCCGCACAGAAGGCTACACTCATAGCACGGCGACAGTGCACCAGGGCACGCGCCCCTGTAGCCCGTGGCGGCGCCAGAGCAGTGTCTGTGCGAGTCGTCGCTTTAGAAAATGCAATTGTCTCGTCCTTAGTGCGAAATTGAGCCTCTTTGTTCGACTCCCCTTTTACTGTTTCTGCTCAGTAATTGTGCACTCCTCTGCTTACAAATTGGCCACGTCTCCGCTTATTTTTTTTGATCATTTCTTAATGTTCGACTCCCCCTAATGGAGCGAAATGGTGTACTTTAGCATTAAATGGAGTATATTCAGAAGTCCCCTGAATAAGCCCCTTTATATCGGATCGCATGGATTTGGTGAACAGTAGACAAAGCAAAAGAGCGCTGAGAATTTCCTATGCAAATTAATGAGGAGGGCTTATTGAGGGGGACTTCTGTACAGTCCCCATGTTCGTGATACGCAATCACCATATCTGCGACGTGAGAGCAAGTTCTAAATTATGCGAAAGTCCGATGATCGGAAGCAGCATTAAATGCATTACTTTGAAGTTTAATTTTAATATTACAGGCATACTGTACATGTACAGGTAGTATAAAATAAAAATAAAACTAACAATAATAATATTAGAGATCTTTCGGAGCAATACTTCGAAGTATGGAATAGGTAATCGCTGTCCGATAGTTGACTGTCCAACCTGGACGATGTGGCCCACGCACCGTATTCCTGCTTGTTAATTGGTCCAAGATCTAAATCAATCACGTATAAATTGGACAAAACAAAATCGAGCAAATAGCACTCGCGATCTTTAGCTGACGTCACAATTGAAATCTCTCCCTGGAGCTCAAGTGACTTCCTCCTTTAAGAATGAGCACAGACGTGGTGTACGACTACATGGTGATCGGCGGTGGCAGCGGCGGCATGGCCTCTGCACGTCGTGCGGCCACATATGGGGCCAAAGTCCTCGTCGTGGAGCGCGGCCGTGAATTCGACGGCATGGGACTGGGTGGCACCTGCGTCAACTTTGGCTGTGTGCCCAAGAAGGTCATGTTCAACGCGGCCGCCCACGTGGAGCACCTGAACCGCAACAAGGACTACAGTATCAACACGGCCAGCAAGGACTTTGAGTTTGGCGACTTCGATTGGGCCAACATGAAGACCAAACGTGACGCGTATATTAAACGTCTCAATGGTATCTACGAGCGTAATTTGGGCAACGCCAAGGTGGACCACGTCCAGGGAATCGCTAAGCTTGTGGCCAAGGACAAGATCGAGGTGGCCGGCCAGGTGTACACCGGTAAGCACGTTCTGGTAGCTCCTGGAGGCACACCGACCGTCCCGGACCTTCCGGGAATGGAACACGTCATCGACAGTGACGGGTTCTTCAAACTGGAGCAACAGCCCAAGAAGGTGGCCGTCGTGGGGGCCGGCTACATCGCTGTGGAGCTGGCCGGCATCTTTAATGTCCTGAAGAGCGACACGACGCTCTTCTGTCGCTTCGACCAGGTGTTGCGTAAGTTCGACCCCATTGTGCGCGACTTGGTCAACGAAGAGATGGAGAAGGCTGGCGTTAACTTTGTACGCAACTCCCGCGCAGTCCGCGTGGAGAAACAGGACAACGGCAAGCTCACGTACGTCGTGACAGTGGACGGAGAGGAGCAGAAGTTCACGGACTTTGACTCGATCGTGTATGCGATCGGCCGCTCGCCACGTACCAAGGATTTGGGCCTGGAAGAGGTCGGCGTGAAGCTCGCGGAGGGAGGATTCATCGAGGTGGACGCCCAGGAGAACACGTCGGTGGCCGGTGTGTACGCGATCGGTGACGCTACGGTGACCGGCTGGGAGCTGACGCCCGTGGCCATCGCGGCCGGCCGTCGTCTGTCTGATCGTCTCTTTGGCGGCGAGAAGGACGCGTGTTTGAACTACCACCAGATCCCTACAGTCATCTTCAGCCATCCTCCTATTGGCACGATTGGCTACACTGAGCCTGAGGCCATCGCCAAGTACGGCGAGGAGAACGTCAAGGTGTACTCGAGTAAGTTTGTCAACTTGATCCACTCGATGGCCGACCCGGAGCGTAAGGGCAAGACGGCCATGAAGCTGGTGACGGTCGGAGACAAGGAGACGGTCGTGGGTGTCCATGTGGCCGGAGAAGGCGCCGACGAGATGATCCAGGGCTTCGGAGTGGCCGTCAAGATGAACGCCACCAAGGCTGACTTCGACAACATCGTGGCCATTCACCCGACGGCTGCCGAGGAGCTCGTGACGATGGCCCCGTGGGGAATGATCAAGGACAAGATCGTGCTGTCCCCCGAACCAGCTCGTTCTGCACCCACCCCCAAGCAGTAGATTCATACTGAAGCGCAGACATTTTATCAGTCGAATATCAGAAAAAAAAGATAATAAAATGCAGCCATTGATAATGCAAATCGTACTTATGTTAACGGAAAGTTCTGTTATTTTTTTTAAAGTGAAAACATTCAGTCTACACTAGGAAGACGGATGTTTGGCGTCGGCAGGTTTACTCGACGTACGTGGAGACTTCGATCGCGTCCTTGAGGTCAGAGTACTCGAGCAACGACTCGCGGAGTACGGACTTGAAGTGAGGGTGTCCACGGACGTAGTCAACGTAGTCGCTGATGTGGGCGTAGACGACGTTGTCGGCCACCACGACGGATCCCTTTACAAATAACAAGCATCAGCACAATGCTCGGCTATAATGTGTTAAACTAGCATGTAAGCCCCGTACCGATCGAAGCATACCACTCTGCTCGATGACGATCAAGTCGCTCTTGTAGAGTTTCTTGTCGTGGTCGATGAAAAACACCTGCACAATACACAAGGAGCGTTAACTAAAGACAAGAAGATAGAGCAATTTTGTCATTCTCCATAGCGTACATCAACGTGCTCGACACCTTTCTCCTTGAGCTTCTTGTAGTTGTTTCCATACGTGCCAAGAATGATCGTCACCATGTCCGACAGTCCAGCGAACGTAATCATCTGTAGAGTATTCGACGTGGTCGTCATGCTACAGTTGCCATCGAAGTACCACACACAAGTACAGTACAGCATCTAAGCACCTTGGTGGCAATGGCCGCAAAGTCCGATGAGATCTCGAAGGAGTAAACATGGGCAGAGGGGCCAGACACCTCACGCATCTTGCTCGCAAAGCGCACGGCGCTATATCCGAGATGTCCGCCAAGTTCCACCAAAATCTATTTCCACAAAGATAATTAATTTCAAAAATGGCAACATAAATTAGATAAGGTCCAAACCTTTGGCTTTGCTTTCTCTAACTCCTCGTCGATGAGCGCTCCTTTGACGTCTCCGACGTTCATCATCCAGTGATGCTCATAGCCGAATGTGTCAATCGCTTCCAGAACGGACTTGGGGTCGCCTTCTTTGGCGTTTTCGTGAACGAAAGCCAGACACTTCTCGCCACTGCGCAGCCACAATAGCAAGTTAGACACGAGCTAGCTAGCGCAGATACTCACTCGCCCCGAGCACGTTACATGCGCACGAGCTCGTCGTAAGGAGGAGGTCCGGGCTTGGTGGTGGCGACTCGAGGCGGCATTCTAATTGGGTGAGGAATCCAAAAGTGGGGAGAAAAAAGATTGGGCCAGTACGTGTTCTCAAATAATAAGTTGCTTAAGGAAGATGTATTATTAGGGGCTGCAACGGGAGGAAACTGAACGCACCCTCACGATAAGCTAGAAGTTATTAATTCATTGTATCGCAGCGCGTTTTATCAAGCTCTGCGACGACTGGTATGTGCTGTTGTATTCTGCCTGAAGTCAGCACACGCTCTAATCCTTTTAGTACTGTAGCACTAACAAGAAAAAAATTTGAGGACAAAAAAGAGGACCAAAAGTTGATGACCTTGCTTGGTTGGTAGATGCTCCTGTGAATGTAAATAGAGTTGCATCTCTGTATTAGCTCTCTACAAGCACACTAGCAACTCTTCGCTAAACATACGCGTTATTGCATGAGCTGTTGTGCCGTAAGGTGTCTGGAATGATTCCCCGGAAGTGTTTTGTCCCTTAAAATTAGGACAAAAGGCGTCAAATTCAAATCGGTGTCGGATTTTCTGTCCTTAAATGTCATAAAGTCATTTTTATGACAATTTAATTTGTCATAAACTATTAGAACAAATCTAATTAAAGGGCACGATGACAGATAATGTCTTATTTTAATAAGACAATATCTGTCTTTGTGTCCATCCTAAATGATTCTGAGTCTTTTATTTTTGAGACCACGCTTCGAGATCGCTGTTGAGCTTCGCTGTCATGGCGTCTGTTGCATCACGTCTTCTGCTACAAGGTTTATTGCACCAGCAATTCAACAGCGCTATTTCAAAGGTTGAGTTAGTTTTTACGAGTAATTGCCTCTGTACGAGAAAGAAGTTCACCAAGAGAATCTTTCCGAGTGTGGACGCGAGGAAGAACGATCTTAGGAATAACATGTACATCAGAAATTTCAGTTTTTTTTTTTGCAAGTAGTCTCAACGGCTACAGGTGTGGTTTTGGCCAAGCCGCTCGATCCGCAAACGCGACGCCTATTAAGAAGAACAACGCTGTGTAAAGTACAGCTATTACTTACCACCGTGTGAGGCGATCAAAACTCACGCAGCAGGTTAGTGATGGCAGACCCACTTTGGACCAGCGTATGCATAAAATCATCCATCCAATCGACGGATTGACAATCCCGACGTCGTCGATTTTGTTGTCGAGCTACAAGCTGCCGGGGCGAAAAACAAGATCATTATAGAATATTGAGACGTAGGACATCTACATTACCTCGATTTGCAATGTTCAAGTCCATTCGCTTAAGGTTTGTGTGGGTTTCCGGAAAACAAGTCATGTTGCCCAACATGCACAGCCTCAAATCGAAGCTGAAAGATAATCGCCGTAGTGCTACAACCGTGGAATCCAGATCGGAGTGCTGTTATTGTTCGTTCTGCTCTCAGAAAGGAAATACTACAACTCTGCGACTGTGTATGTGGACGAAAACAAGCGGTCCATACCGTCACATTTTAAACCTGTAACGGGCCAATTATCTCGTCCGGCCGTGGGGCGGGTCGTTGCTCCACAGTTCTGCGCTACGGCGTCCGCACTCCGTAACTTTACTTAATAATAGACACCACTGACTGACAGGATCCACTTGACCCTGTGCCGGAGCGTTCACCACTTGTGCCCGCTCCTACTTTATTAATCAGCAATAAGCTGCTTGGGCCACCTGCTAACGCAACCTACACACTCAACCAGGACTCGTCCTTGGACGATGCGCACGCTGGATTCCCCGTCAGTGCACACGCCGCCTTTGTACTCGCCCCAGCACTCAAGCAGTGCACACTGGATTCCCCGTCAGTGCACACCATCACCAACAAGCTCAACGACGGGCTGGACTCCTCGTCAGCACACGTTGCTTCGCCTCAACTCTTGCGACCTCTCGATCGCGCACTGCCTGCTTCCGCAGGCCACACACACTTGCTCCGTACCGAGCTGATTCGTTTACCGTATTTCGCATGTAGAGAGCTGCACCCTCATATGAGATGCACCTAGATATTGACCAATCACATTCGGCTATCTTGAATTGAGGAAATCGCATGTAAAGAGATGCACCATTCCTAAGCCAACCAAGTCTTTGCGGCAAAATTTGCGCCGGCAGTCGGTCATTTGCCATGTCACGCACAAAGCCTCGCCCAGTGGGCAGACCTCGTGTCGGTGGTAAGGGACGCCACCAGACCAAACACACGGTCGAGGGCATCACGGTGCAGAAGAAGCTACGGGTACAAGAAGTGCGACTTGCGTCTCGACACCGACTGCCTTGCGGCTGCGTCTTTGGTGGAGGAGTTGCAGCGACTATCGCTAGTAGGGTTAAGTACTGACGAAGATCACGATTTTGATAGATGGCTCACCGCAGAGGAGGATGGCAACGTGAGTGCTGACGTAGCCGTCGTGTAAATACACTTTTTGTAAAGGAAAAAAGGTTCCTGCATAATTTGATTGTGTCTTTTGAATATATATTTATCCGGGTTTGATTTGCTATGTGAACATTAGGTGCATCTCTCTACATGCGAAATACGGTACTCCCCACCGAGTAGGGCCACTTGCTCTCCTCTGTGCAGATCTACTTGCTCTCTACCAAGCTGATTCTCTTTGTTCTTCACTGAGTAGAGCCACTTGATCTCCTCTGCGCAGATTTGCTTGTGAGCGACCAAGACCGCCTCTCAGCACCTGGCGCACTGAATCCAACGTGATGCGCAGGCAAGCACCGCACTTCAATGCCACGGTCTTCATTTGGACATCCTCCAGCGCCATGCGCTGCCTCACAGAGCCCGACGACTCCGTACGCGGTGATCTTCTGGCACGCCACGTGCCACTTCTGTCGCGCTCCATCATCATCATCTGAACCCGCTGTGCTGTGGTCTACACCACGGCACGGTCCGTTACAAACCCATCAAACGCGCAGGGTTTTAGGCGTTGCCGGAGGTAATGGTGGCATACGCGACCTATAATACTAATGACGCACGGTACAAGCTTTTAGCTTGGTGATACACGACGTCTTCAGGCACGTACATATTTAATCTAGCAATTGCGCTTATCTCTTTGTATCTGGTTGTGGGTGGATGTGTCGGAAAGTGTATATGTGCCTTTACGACATGGGTGTACGTCGGTGTGCACAGAATGTTCATCACGTTCTGACGAGAACGAAAGCCCGGAGTGTTTATTCGACACTACCGTTTCGCTTATGTCGGCTAATTCGACTTGAAATACAGATCGTGGTTATTGTGGAGAAGGACTTCAGTGAAATCGTCCTTCTTCGACATGAATTTCTTGGAGCAACTGCTCGCTATTTGTGTTTTATATCTTCGGGGAGTGGTGAACAAGAATGGAGATTTGATCGAGAAACTGCAGAGGATTTTGCTCACGTAATGATTCATGCATCAATGGATAACGAATACGACACGGGGCACAAATACCTGTACTACGTTCTGGAGGGTTAGGAAACGAAGATGGCCGAACTCATCCCAGAGCCCGAACATCCGTTTTTGAAGTTCTTCCGTGAGAGTTGGCACAAAGAGAAACTTCCTATTCGAGGCCGGTTGATCTATTCGAGGCCGGTGTATTATTAGCCAATGCATACGCTGTATTACGATTTCCAGCATGTCATTTGTAGATATACAACTAAGTACGAAACTCACAGAAATTTATACAGATATGGTGCGAAATCCAAACTGCTGACGAGAGAGCGATCACTGCCAGAAAGCAGCGTTACTCTTAGCAGCTTTCGTTTCCAAACCAGGTCAATGGCACCTACCTACATGGTGGACTTAAAACAAGCAACAATCGCTCAGGGTCAAGCCGGCAGTACAGTGGTTGACGTCGCCGCTGTTACTGGCGTTCATGAGAGAACTATTCGAAAGTGGCTACAGGCACTAGCGGAGGTCGCAAACACGTGAACACGAGTAGTTCAGGGGCTAAGCCTTGCAAGAAGACGACATCAATGTCGCCAAGCGTTGACACTGATAGTGATATTGTAGATTCTACAGTAGTTTAGACACAGCAACTGTCAGTACGACCTCATAAGTATGTGGAGCTAAAAGATTGCCGTACCAAATTGGTTGAATCTGTGCGTCTGTCAATCCGGCAGCGTTACCCCCACCCTGCCGGGCAGCTCCACATCACACAGGAGGTATTGGCCTCAGCAAAAGGTGGGTGTGGCTAGCCATGACGCATGAGCAGCCGTACGAGGTTCTTCGGGTGGCAGCGGAGCTCCGGGGGATCGAGCAGAGCCGGCGCCCCGCTCGACATTTCGATCGCTGCCTGTGTCTTCTGGAAATGCAGTCTTTTCCAAAATGGCATCGCCTCTCAAACCTAGTAGCCTATGATAATGCCTTAAGTACGAACGATATGCACCGTTCTAGTAGACCTACCACTGATGCTGGTGTACCAATGAACTTACTCAAGACAAGTCTAATTCCGGCCTTTAATTGAGCCTCCGCCACAATTCCAGTGGTTTCTTTAAGTAACAATAAAGCGACCAACACTGTCATATTATGTGCCAATCACCACCTTAAAAAACGAGGGATTCCGGAGGTTTCCAGAACTGTCAAAACTTACGACTTCCGAGACTTCAGTCCGAAGTAGTGCCCTTCCGAAAATTGCACCTACACACCGGCCTCAAATTGACGACTTCCAGCGATGTGGAGTGCGTACACGATTATGAGGCTCCTCACATGAGGAATACAGCAAATAAACGGTATGAATCGATTTGTATGCCTGAAATCTTTTACCTTCTAGGAGATGTGTTTGGAAATATTCGAAGACCTGTGTGGCAGCAGAGAAGCGAATAATATCAACTGCAGCAACGAGCAAATTGCCCAATTTATCCAGGTCACTCTAAGGGAGTGGCAAGAGTAGACAAGTACTCCGACACTGTGACAGGTGGCAAAAGTCGCTCTGTAGATGTGCACCATACCGATTGCCACACCGTGGAAGTGATACAATTTAATGCACCGGCCGTTTGACCAACGAAACGGTCAAGATCAGAGGATATTCGCAGCTGCAGCTACGGTGAGGAGCCACC